TACTGTTCCTTTCTCTATTCTCCTTTCCCAAAACTCCTTGAAAGAATTGTTGATATCCTATTTTCTCTTGAACCCACTCTGGTCACAGTTTTGCCCCATCTTCCACCAGAACAACTCCCATCAAGGTCACTCATGCGCTCCACACTACCCAATCCGGTGGTCAAGGCTCAGTGTTCATTGTCCTTGACCTACCAGAGACCTTTGGCACGGTTGATTGCCCTTGGTTTCTTTGGGGGGTAAGGCGGGGAGAGGGAGAGGGAAAGAGAGAGAATCTTAAGCAGGCTCCACGCCCAGTGTAGAGCCCGATGCAGGGCTCAATCTCCTGACCTGAGCCGAAATCAAGAGTCAGACACTTAACTGAGTCACCCAGGTGCCCCAGCCTTACTTTCTTATGTCACTGTACTGACTGAATTCTTAAGTCACTGAAAAGGCTTGGCTTCTTTATGGCTTCTTGACTTCTCCCCAAACTCTAAATGTCAAAATGTTCCAGGACTTCATCCTTTAACCCCCTTCTCTAACTTCACTCATTTCCTTAGTGTCCTAATCCAGTCATAAAGCTCTAAATACCACCTATAGATATGCTGATAACCCCCAAGTTAATAATCACTCTTTATTTACCTGATCAATTTCTCAGGATTGTGTTTTCAGCAAACAACCTTTAGGAATGAGGTAACTGCTCCCCCATCCCACCCCAACAAAGAGTAGGCTTGCTTCCCCTTGCTGTAAAAGTAGCTCAATGCTCCTCACCTGTAATGGAACCCATTACATATGCAGGGGTCCATCATGGCCCAAGGGGAGTGCAGCAGAGATATGAAGCTCATGCTGGCTGCTGAGCACTTTGTCTCTGACCCAGCATCCATGAAACAGTAACAGGCTAACTTGTTAGCTTATAGAAGAAAATCCCAAACCCTGCACAATTCTTGATATTAGGTAGCTATGCTTTCTTTGATAAGCAACTTAACACCTTAACCCAAATAAATTATATATAGAAGGTCTCTACTTGCAAACACTTGACTTAATGACTTTCATAAGGATAACGCTCTACACAGAATGAAGTGTGTCAGGTTCTCCCTGCCTCCTATTGATGGCTTTGGCCAAGACCTTTATAGAATCATTTTGGATTTGAGGAAAAATCGACTAACAAAGAACATTTTAGAGCCTGGCACTATGCAGAGAAACTTCCGGCATTCCTTAAGGAATCTCTTAAACTTTAATGTTTAAATCTTGATGTGAATGCTGGGAAATTTAGGAAGGTAGTTGGGGAGTTTTTTTTTTTTTTAAAAGATTTTATTTATTTATTTGACAGAGAGAGAGATAGTAAGAACAGGAACACAAGCAGGGGGAGTGGGGGAGGGAGAAGTGGGCTTCCCGCTGAGCAGGGAGCCCGATGTGGGGCTCGATGTGGGGCTCGATCCCAGGACGCTGGGATCACGACCTGAGCTGAAGGCAGACGCTTAACGACTGAGCCACCCAGGCGCCCCGGGAGTTATTTTTGATCAAGGATCCTTTTAGCTTCCCTCAAGGCCACTGATTCTTTCACCTTAAGCCAGGGTCTGCACAAGCTCTTCTGAGTTCCTTAGATGATCTTTTTCATCCATCTGTGGCACCTGAAAGTGATCCCTTAAGATGTTCATGCTTTTAGAGACGACTCATATCTCTGATTCATTCTTACTAAGATCCACAACTAGCAGGACACACAGTCAGTGGCTATCATCCTAATTTCTACGTGTGTGAAACCAAACCCTGCCAATCCTTATACAGGGCCTGCAGGCCAAAACCAGTCAATCGCCTAGACAAATCCTACTTGGAAAAACTACTCAATCTCTTACACAAGAAGTGGTGTTGGCATCTAGTCTTATGCCATTTGCATTCATTTACCATATCAAAAAAGATGGAATTTATGTGGTCAGAATTTACAGTACATAGGAAAAAATCATTTAAATGTTCTATATAGAGATGGATGGATTTAATGGAAGAGAAGTGTCTTTAAAATTACTGACTCCTTCAAAACTTTATTAAAAGCAGACACAATTGGGACTATCCTGGTATTATTTACTTTGCATGTTATTCCATCTCTTGGAGATAAGCAGAAAGCCACAGGGACTATTTCAACTCATATTCTGGGAAACCAAGAACTACACAACACTCAGCCATCAACAAATTGGTGATTAACATGATGTCTAGACAGGTTCCCATGAGAATAACATTATTAATTAAGCAGCAGTTTGGTTAATCACGATAGCAAAAGTAATTTTTGGAATAAATATTTTATTAGTGTGCCCATCAATAAAGCAAAAGTAAAAGGATATATGTTAATTCATTTGTTATAATATTGAGATTAAGGCTGGCAATTTCTGTTTCAGGGCCTAGAGAAAGAGCTAATGTTTCTAGTATGGCATGCCTTTATCTTACTGTTTCCAGCTAATGGTACCATATATTTCAATTACTTAGCCAAAATTCCTTTCTTGTCATCTATCAAGGTATTATTAAGCTCCATTAGTGAATAATTGAATTTGACAAATTTTCTGTTGCTATACATTCATCTATTCTTTTAAAACTGGGTATCTCCCATTTCATCAGTAACAAAAATTTCACTGAATGAGGAAAGATAGTGAGCTGTAACTATAATTAAGACCCCGATCTTACTTTCCATCAGTCAAAAGACTCACTGGGAAAAGAAGTAAATACATTGGCCAGTTCTCTTCAGTACATAGATAGTAAATCTCTCCAGTTAACCCAATATTTCTAGCATAATCCATAGCCCTAAAACTACAAGGAAGAAATATAAGATGATAAAACTTAAGTAAAAAAAAATATATTTCTGAAAAAATTATTCAGGTGAGCTTGCTCTCCTTTATCTCTATAAAAGAACATCTGTGGAACCTTCCAGGTTGGCGAACACTTAGGGATTTGGGAAAAGTGGTGCACTCGAGAGGCCATGGAAGCTCTGCACTTTTTCCCCACAACTTGCTCTATGCGTCGCTTCCACCTGGCTATTCCTGAATTATATCCTTTTATAATAAACCAGTAATCTAGCAGAAGGCCACAAGTTATATAAGTACACGAAGAACACCTTTAGTGCAGTGAAAGTGATGCATGAAAGCTCAAAGCAAATGTCAGAAAGCCTACAGGAGATCTACAGCAGTGAGTGGGACCGTCAAGAGAATCCCATGACCACTGTAGGGAATAATGACCTCCTTCAGGAAGACTACAAAGAGAAATGAGCTGACCAGGTTTTGAGGACCACGGAAAACTATGTAGCCCCATTCAGCGATATGAAGGAAAGAATCACTAAATGGGTTGGAAACTCACGAACATTGACAGTGCCCAGCACCACCTGGAGGTGATGCCGTATGCCGAGAAGAAAGATGGGGGCAGTATGGCCAAGGCTGAGGAAGAGTTCATCAAAGCCCAGACTGTGTTTAAAGATCTGAACCAGGAACCGCTAAAGGAACTGCTTATTCTTTATAATAGTCTTATTGGCTGTGACCATCTTCCAAAACATCTCCAAGTTGAGGGACATCTTCTACAAGGAAATGAGCAAACTTAACCACAATTCCTACGAGGTGATGAGCAAACTGGAAAAACAACATTCCAATGGTCTTGGTGCAGGGACCATCAAGCAGCAACAGATACTCTTTGGTCATCTCTTCCTTGGTTTGAACATCTATGGTTTCTAGCCCTCTGAGCTCACCAGTCCCTCCGCATTTTCCTGAAAGAGTGAGAGGAAATCGGTCTCAGCAAGTGAAGAAGAGCTAGCACCTGAACCCGCCCAGTTTAAACAGTCTGGAAGTGAATTCCAAATTCAGGTTCTTAATCTGCGGGCTAGTCACAAACCCTATGTAAATTGTTCTCTGCACTGGGAACTTCAGTCTTTGACACTGGGACTATCGAAAAAGTTTCCTTTCCAAATGTTATTTTATAAGGGTGAGGAGGGGAGAGACTTTAACAACAGAGAGGAAAGTAAGAACATAGACTGTATAATCACTATTTAGCTATCTATTTTTATCAAAGTACTCAGAGTAATTTTTTTAAAGATTTTATTTATTTATGTGACAGAGAGTGACACAGCGAGAGAGGGAACACAAGCAGGGGGAGTGGGAGAGGGAGAAGCATGCCTCCCGCAGAGCGGGGAGCCCGATGCGGGGCTCGATCCCAGGACCCTAGGATCATGACCTGAGCCGAAGGCAGATGCTTAACGACTGAGCCACCCAGGCGCCCCCTCAGAGTAATTTTAGACTAGATGAGATGCGTTGACAATTTCGTCCTCCCGGAATTGCGGTGTCTCCGGCTCCGTAAAATAAGAATTGCCTTCTCCGTAGGATAAGTACAGAAAACAATATGAAACGCTGGAAAGACTACACTCTGGCACCTGCATTTATTCAACCACTAGTATCCAAAGTATAAATGATCTCTTCAATGTCATGATATGATTAATGACCTCAAAGTTAATGTGTTTTCTTAGGATATAATTAACAAAACAATTTCGTATTTAAATAGAATTTATATTCTCAGAACATTTCAAATAATTAAGTAGATGATTGGTATTTAGTTTACAATTAACATATTTTGATGCATTTTATGGCTATTAAATCTTAAAATAGTTGTAGTAATAATGAGTGTTGCTATAAATTTCTCTCTAAATAGTCCAAACTTAAAAATATCTGAATATTTTCTCTGATATAATCTGAGTCACCTCTGAATAATCGGAGGTGACTTTAAAGCATGAGAACTGTAAATCCCAAGTCAAAATCTAAGTCAAATATCTAGAAAATGTTTCCCATTCCTGTGTACTCTTTTAGAAAGCTATTGCACTAAGTAGTAATAGAAAGGCTTACTTTAAAATCACAGCTATTATTTAAAAAAAAAGATTTTTTTCCTATTAAGATTCATAGGCTTCATTACTATGTATTCTTTATCTTTATTTATTGGATTATATAGGCTTTTCAATTCTGGACATTTGACATCAATTCTTAAAGCACTTTTTTTCTCCTTTGCAGTTGGTTGGTTTTGTGTATGCCTGTTATGTGATCAGTATTTTCATGGAAGAAGAAGACACCTGTAAGTACTGTTATAGCTACCTGTGGGTTTATTTCAGATGAGATATAGCTTCCAAAGCTAATCATTACAGGGCTATGAAAGCTTTCATAGTTGTCATTTAAAATGACTGAATGCAACATGGTAAAGTTACAATCAAACGTTTGCAAACAGAACTGCATCCAAAGAAGATGGCACTAAGGATGGAAACTCTCAGTCCCGGCTGTGTGTGTGGATGCCCAGAGATGTGGAGGTCTACAGAGTGCTGTCATACCATGTCTTAGCAACTTTTCTTCAGAGATCTAAACATAATGTTGAATAGAATATCGGGGATTGTTCTAGTCATGATCAATCTCACGTATGCTACTGCAGAATTTCGAAATCTGACTAACAACAATGACGTCAATACAGTACATCATAGCAAGAATTATATGAATGTAAATTACGTAAAATCCTCCACAAAACTAAAAATGACAAACTTCCGGGTGAGATGTAAAAAAAATTTTTAAAAAGAAATGCTGAAAATAACTAATGAGATCCTAAAAAGCTAAGTAGTCGTGTTGGAGCCGAATACTACCAAAGAAATAAAAGACAGATAGGACCTAAAGTTATGTGGGCAGAGATTTAGCAACATATGCCAAAGCCTGGCATTTATTGAGTGCCTGCTGATATATAAGGCACATCTTGGTGCAACTGTTATGAGCTCATGTGATACCAAAGAAAATTTTAATTTATTTTTAAAAAAATAAATCATTATTAGATAAACAAATCACACCCAGCCATCTCAAAGATGCAGGTATATCATTGCCAATTACTGTCTGGGTTATAAAGTTGACCCTTTAAAAAAATGAGGGTGAGTGTCCAGCTAGCCATGATAACTTCTTTCTAGAACACAACTCCAAAGGGGTCTGATGAATGCTTCCCACCAAATAGATGCAGTCACAGTACATGAGCTGGAGTCCAGTTGACAATGAGACAATGACAATTTATTGAACCAGCTGGAAGAAATACGGGAACCTGAGATTAAACTCTTAGGTAGTGAAAATGTGTGAACATACTGCATTCTATCTTTTATGCTGGCTTAGGGGTATTTTTTTTTTTAAATACTAGATGAACCAGAAAGTTTCTGACATTTCAAAAGTGCCGTGGTAATGACAGCACTTCCCAGTATGAGGTTAACGTCAGAACGTATATTTTCAGGCATTCCATTAGTAGCTCCCCAATCTGACAAAGTTAGTGCACAGAAAATCAGCAGCATGCTTCCAACTCACAGCTGAAATAGGCTGCACCTCCAAAAACACGAGACCTAAAGGAAATTATTAGAATGAATACCTCCAACAACAACAAAAAAATACACTGCCTGATAAATCCCAGCTGAATCCCTTATAAAGTAAGTTCGAGGAGGTACCAGATGTGCCTGTTTCTTGTCCTCCTCACTGAACTTGGAGGCTCTCAGACGATGCTCATGCTCCATCCTCCCTTACTGTGTGAGAAAAGGCAGATTAATCAATAGTGTTTTCTCTATTAGAATAAATAAAGGACTTTTCCTTGAGGCTTGTAATTTTAAGCAAAACTTGGAAATGCAAAAGAAAATGCTCATCTTCATTGGGTAAACGATTTTGACCTTTATCAGCCTTCTTTTAAAGTAATAATGTTGGTGGATATGGATTATATTGCTACTGGCAGATATTGTAGTTCCACCGACTTTGGTGTCTTTAATTAGCCTAAGTTTCTCTATAGAAATCTCTGAATCAGCTATTTGAAGGTTCATCAAACTGGCATTCAAGCAGCTGCTAGAAGCCTATGCTATTAATGGTTTAATTCCAGTGTTTGTCAGGAGGGCCATACATTAAGTTACCAAGAGACATCTGGATATAGTAGTTGTGTTACCATCAATTCAAACAAAACTAAGAGCCAGAAAAAGTTTTGGGTGGGGGCCCAAAACAAAATAGATATGCCCTAGACTGACTTGACACAATGATCTACTGGAAGAAAGACGACAGGGAAAAGCAATCATAAACCTTTTAGTCTGATAGTTCTCAAGTGCGGGTAATTTTACATTTTTTATTGAAAGAAGTAGAAATCAAAAGTGCAGTTATAATTAAATTGTCCCAGAGTCTTCAGAAGGCAGATGTGAGCAAAGAGAAATGTCTGGAAACCAATTGCGGTGATCTCATAGACTAGTACGATCTGTGCCAACACTGAGCTTTCAGGTGCAAAAATGAACTGCCCTTTGGATATGACATTACCCACCCGCAGTCGAAAAAGAGGTGTCTTTTCATGGGCTTTTCCAAAATGTAAACCCCCAGTAAGAAAGCAATACTGGTAGCTTTTCCGTTTGTCTAAGTGTACTTCTGGAAAGCTGATTCTGAAAGGTAACTGCAAATATATAATTTAATGTCACAGTATTTTGGCAGATAATGTATCATTTATTATTTCAATTCCTCTTCTAACTAATGAAAATCTCTGCATTATTCAGAATGCAAAGTTAAGCCTTGTTCTTGGACTGAAAGCTGTCTGCCAGCCTTAAAAATTAATAACAGCTACCGGCTGTCTCCTCTGCACTGCCTAAGTGGTTCTTTGGGACTAACATTTCAGCTGATGGACATCTCTGAAGGGTAAAAAATGCTTGAGGAAACATTTATTTCCAGCCACCATCTTCTTAGTTAGCTCTTGACCTCTTCTGCTAACTATATTTCTTATAAAGCCTCTGATTGCAGGTCAAAGACAATGAAATAAAAAGCTCAAACAGGGAAGAATGCTGTTTGATGGGGTCAGAACTTCCCATCACTCATTCCAGTGAAGAAGCCTATCTATGTATCTCGTTTCATTTTTATTTCTTTTTTTAATAGCTATCAATCTCTACGAACACTTTTGTGAGACCAGGGTATTTGGAATCTGTAATCGTAAAAACCTGTCGACATCTTGTTTGTGAATCATCTGCTGCTGAAAATGAACTTGTCGGCTTCTTACTACCTTGTCACACTTACGAAAAAGAATGTTTTTAATTCAGGGAAGTATGTAGGCAAGGCAAAAGATGCTGAAAAATAGTATTGACTTGTATAAATATTACCAGGCTTCTTGCGAGGATCTGTTGCTAACATGACGGCTTCTGATATTAGTTTGCAAATTACACCTGGGACATCTGTTTGGTCTCACAAAGGCCAGTCTTGGTTGCACACATTGAATAGTCGGAGAAAAGTGTATTGACAACCCTTAGAGTTAGTTTTTGAAAAAGAAATGAACCTTCCCCGGATGCAGAGTCAATAAATTACATTGAAAAGCTCGAAATGACTCTTTATGCAACCATTTGACCCTTGCTAGTATACTTTTGGGGAACTTCTCATTGGAAGGAAGCATGACTCTTGGAAAAACATTCCATACTCCACCGTCCTCGAGGCTTCCTGCAGGCTTGTGTGCAGGTATTTGCCTGCCTGCCCATAAATTCCTTTTAATAGTATAAGGTGATATTACCATAGCAATGATGTGAATTCGAAATAAATAACCCTGTCTACCTTAAAAATAAAATAGTTATCAGCAAAATTTGTTTCTTCGGGAATAGCAGAGGAATTTCAATTTGGTTCAAGTAAATGATGGGGAACCACAGGCAAATCCAAAGAGACAAAGGGAAAGTCAGCTGGCAATAGGTTGCAGGAGGAAATTAGGGAGTGTTGTTTTAAACAAAAGTTCACCCGAGGACAAGAAAGCATACAAAGTTGCGGCGTTTCTCATTAGCCGTTAAGTGTGGTTAGTGCATTGCTGGAGCAAGGAGGGATCTTCTTTTTCTTAAAAGTGGAAGATGAAATTCCTATGTGAAAAATGTCTTTCCTTGTCAAGATAATTCTTATCTTCCTTCTTCCTGCTGATTACACAACCTGGTACATGCATGAGAGCTCCCCTTCAGTGCTTTCCTGTTCCATTTTAAAGATTTATTGATTTTTGAGAGGGGGTGGGTGGGGTGGTGTCAGAGGGAGAGAGAGTCTCAAGGAGAGTCCCCGCTGGGCGCGGAGCCCTCGGGCTTCATCTCACGACCCTGAGATCAGGACCTGAGCCAAAACCAAGAGTCAGAGGCTTAACCAGCTGTACCACCCAGGCACCCCTCTTTTTTTTTTAAAGATTTGTTTATTTGTTTAGTTTAGAAAGTGGGGGAGGGGCAGAGGGAGAGAGAGAGAGAGAGAGAGAGAGAGTCTCAAGCAGACTGCCTGCTGAGCACGGAGCCTGGTTCCATTTTAACTGAGGTTTCCTTTATTTATTTTCACAACCCCTATCTCCTCCTAAGAATTTACTAAAGAAGCTAATGGGAGGGCAATTGGGTAGTTTGGATGTTAACTTCCCAGCATCCCTTCCTGGCTCTGTAATGTGTTCAGAAACCTAGAGGAGAGTGACCCAAAGGTCAGGCACCAGGGGAAGGAGAGGAAGCAGGAGAGGATGGATGATCCTCAGAATAGAAAACTGTCCATTGGCTTGTGAGCCTTGCAACACACAGACATTTGGAATAGAGGGACAGGAGAATTTGCTGAGTCAGAAACAGAAATGCAGGTATGATGCTTTAGTCATAGCTAACATTTCAAAGGAGTCAGAGCATCTGTCCAAGAAGCCATTAAGAATCTACTGATTCTCAAGATAAATTTCTTTGGGTCACTATATGGTGGGTTCCATCTAACTAACCTCACCACAGTTTAGATTTAGAGGCTGAAGCGTCTCCCCTAATTTGATGGGAAGACTTTATCAAGTAGCTACAGAAGTACTAGCTAATATTCTTATTAGAATAGATGATCTGTGAGGCCAGGATCTTTATTTTGTTCCCTGATTTAATCCTAAAGCCTAGAAAATGCCTTGCACAAGTATCCCATAAAGAAACGATTGCTGAATTTATATTGCTAGATTCTCTTCGCCTAGCAACTCATTTTTAAAAATGGATTTCAGAACCCCAAGATTCTCAAATTTGATGAAATGATACTGCCTTACATTTAGAATTGAGTGAGATACCTGCTGCATTTACAAATATTTATGTTTGGTAAATG